ACTGACCACACACAAGACTCCATGCCCACTTCACATTCGCACTCTCAATCAAATGTTTGCGCGCCCGCCACTAGATGGCGCCACGGTCGACGCTCACCTCCTCCTCTCCGTCGCAGCCGCACAGGTAGCAGACTTCGCTGAGCTGCTGCGCTCCGACAGATATCACACTGGCGCCGTTCGCCCAGATCGCATCCTCATCGTAGTCGTCCTGCAACGACGAAGCCAAACACGAACAACTGAACAACATGACCAACTGAACAATGTGAACAACAAGAACAACTGATCTAGAACCACATGATGACAAACAATGTCAGAGCGACTTATTTAGTCGTTATCATCATCACGAGACTTCGACGACGTGACGTCTCTCCCGAAAACACAGTCCTTGTTAAAAAAAACGTCATACGACCCTCGCACAACCTTGCACAACCTCGCGTGACCTTGACATACCACAAAGTCGACCTTGAGCAACCGGGGAGCCTCGAGGTCCTCCTCCTCCCAGTCTCCGGCGAGCTCGGCCGGCTTGTACGCGTGCAGCGGCTTCCCCTCGACGCGCGTCAGCTGCTGCGCCTATAAACAATAGAACATCCCGTCGTCAGGCGGAAGAAGCTCGGTGACATTCGTTGCTAGCGGCAACGCGAGCGAGAGCGGGGACCAAGACGACAAATGCTTACTACGTCACGCACACGTTTCCCTCTGCATCGCAAATGCACCGCACAAACCTACGCTATGCGGACACATGTAGCTACGTGACCTGCACCCGGTCTGCACAGGATAGGCCAAGATACAAATATCCGGATATTTTTGAAGATATTTAGAAGTTTTCGGACTATTTAGAAAATTCCTTAATATTTAGAAGATAAAACACAATTTTCTCAAATATTAAGGATTTTTAAGGATGAGTTTGTCCTTTTCTGTTAAGAAAAACCATCCAGCGGTGCAAACTGCATGCAGTGCCCCTTCGTACACTCAGGATACCACTGCCACAATGCTAGCACTATTTTTAAAGTGGGCGGAGCTCCGGGGAAAACCAGCGAATGGAGATTCGTAAACAGCGTATGATTTTTTTCGCACACAATAAATATGTTTAAAAGACATTATCAACATTACATGGCAACACTACATGACAACATTACATGGCAACACTACATGACAACATTACATGGCAACACTACAATGACACAAATGTAAACATCGATGAATATAAGTGATAGATAGAATTACCCATATGTTTTGGTGTTTGGAAGGTTTTCTTGGGTAGTGTTTGCCTAGGCACGCAGCGTGGTACATGTTCTTGCATTTGTGACACTGCAGTAGCTAAAAAATAAAAATCGTACACAACTCGTTATTAATACTGTTGCAACATAATAACATATACACACGCAGCGTGTACGTGTACACGTTACTATACCTGGATATTTCTTGCAAACTATATATTACTGTGCTCCTTAAATATTCAATTCAATTCAAATTACTTTATTTACACTTATGAATTACACTTTGGAGGTAACATATTAGTTAAACAAGTTAATAGGCAATGCTGATAAAATTAAAACAAATAAAACTAAATAAATAGAAGTGATGATGGGGGCGAAACGACAATTCAGTCTTCCAGTAGATTACGAAATAACAACATAAGAATGACGTAGGATTTTTTTTATAAATATGGAACCTGATAAGAATATAAATTTAGTATAAGTGTGTGTGTGTGTGTGTGTGTGTGTGTGTGTGTGTGTGTGTGTGTGTGTGTGTGTGTGTGTGTGCACGCTCCTAGCAGAAACAAGTTATGAAACCAAACAAAGAAAAAGAATTAGTATATAATGTGTTTATTTTAAAATAAAGTGATTCAATTGAACAAACGAATGGATTCAACCAACAAGCTAGTGGGCGTAGCCGCCAAAGACACATGCCACAACTACCCTTGCTCAAAACTGCCAATATTTTCTCTCATGAGTTTGTAAAATTTCTACATACTATAGTACCGTAGTGGAATCAATCGTGTATTGGAGGTGATTGTGAAAGATAAAGGTTTGTAAAGTGGATGCGGTTTGTGGCAGAAATAAGATTTTGAAGGGAATGTTTGTGGAGCAGGGGTTAAGGTGTGAAAGGTGTTTGGCTTGGGTATACATGTCTGTTACATGGAATGAACGTCTGGTTTAAGTGTACACACATATTTGAACGTGGGTCATGCCAGGTATGCTAATTATTAATTATTAATTACTAACAGATGAACGAGTCATCGGCTACCTCTCATCATAGCCGGAAATCACGATGAAATGACACCAGATGTCACCAGATGACCTTCTGTGACTTTTGATTTTGGTCCCACATATTGCCACTCGCACAATAGCGCCAGACGCTCAAAAACTGCGGTTACTACGGCAACCGTCGACACCGCTCGAACCGCGGACGTTCTATTGTCGCGCGTTACTCCGCACGTGACAGCCTAAGATTCTTGACGCTGGGATAACACAAGGTAGGTGGACACGTGTTTTCTTCTGAACCCTGACAACCGCGCAATCTAGTCTCTGGCACTTTACTAGCAAATCCACATGAACATCGTTAGGAAAAAATGTTACAGATTTGCGGCAATTAATGAATCATTCGAATGGGGCCTTGATTACATTAATTAATCAAAGCCGGTGCTGTGAGATCACGACGAAACGATCGACGATAAAACGCGCCGCCGATGCATCATGTCAAACGACCTTGAGACAATGAGACGTGACCTCCACGTCCCTCCGTATCACAGCGATGACTGCGTTGCCATGGATACCGTGGTGCCGCGAGCGCAAGTAGCGCTCGGACGAGCGACGAAGCGCGCGAGGACGAACGACAAAAACAAACGCGTCACTTCGTCCGACGTCTAAAGCGACGGCAATGCCCAATGCGAAATATACAACCCTTAAAAAATCTACACTAATGCCAAACATATTAGGACGCATAACGAAACGATACACTTATAAATTCTAACCTACTATACTAAATTCAGATACAAGATATACTAAACTTAAACTGATACAGATGCTGCTATGTGACAGGCACTTCGTGAGGTGTAAACAACGGTGTCACTTCTAAAAATCTGACAGGCACTAGTGATAACAGACAGTCGTTCTGACCACCGTAAAATGTTTCTACATAAGCGCGTATGTAGCCCATAACTAAGAGATTGCCATAGCCCAAAACTAATTGAATAGGAGGGAATAACTCTTGAACTTGGCTAACTGTTGAGAGCCACATGTATATAATTTATATACTAGGCAAAGATATAGATGGGCCATTGCCCCTAATAGAGGTATTGCTGGAAAACACACACATTTGTACTATCATACAGTTTTAAAACGATCCGTCATAAAATACATGAACAACAAAAACAATGATAACAGAGCAATTAATAAGATAATTCACATCAATTCAACACACATATGAACATCTTTATGTACAGAGTGAGCTTAGAGAGAAAACCAAGCACGCACAGAGAAACACGGCCTTCACAAAACAAATCTGTCCATATAAACCTGCTCGCGATAAAATCTCATCATGAAGTATATTTCATGGCCTTGGAATGATTATTTAAGCGACGCCGGTAGCATCAGCAGCGCCATCTATCATCTTCTTGTAATGACCATCAGAGCCACGACGTCGGCGTCATCAGCGCCACCTGGTGTGCCCACTGTAAATCCTCGTCTTCGATGACGATCTCCGCCTTGCCGATCTTCGCTCCCCGCAGCTCCGTGAACCCTGACCCCGCCTCCGCCGTAACCGTGGCGACGCGTCCGCCAGCCTCAGTGTTTCGGCTCGTCGTCGCCGCCGCCGCCTCCTCCATAAACAAGTGAACGGCTACGGGCAGAAGAGCGCCGGCCACCGGCTCGACCGTGACGGGCGTCAGCGCGCTCTGGTGGTCGTCGCGGCTGGTGGCGCGTCCTGGTGGGCACGACCCCGCGTGACCTGCCCCCGCGCTCGCGTAGGAGGGCGGGTCGGCGGGATAGAGGGCGGTAAGGTGTGGGGCGGCGACGCCCCGATCCTTGTGACCCACCCCAGAGAAGGAGACGGTAGGTTCCAACGGAGTCAGGTCTGCCAGCTCCACTGCGTTCTGGGGGAAAACCAGAGAACATCTGTTGAGTACAGAGCTAATACGCACGCTACCGTACCTCTGCTTGCGCTCTCTCTCTCTCTCTCTCACACTCTCTTTCTCTATCCCTCTCTCTCGCTCTCTATACCTCTCTCGCGCTCTCTCTTCCTGTCTCCCTCTCTAACTCCCTCCCCTCTCTTTCCCTCGGTCTTGCTCCTTTCTATCTTGCTCTCATACTCTATTCTTCCTCCTCCTCCTCCTCTCTCTCTCTCTATCTTTAGCTCTCTCGCTCTCTTTCTCTCTCACTCCCTCTCTCTCTCTCTCATACATTCCCACACATGCCACACAAGTACAGGTTAGAACAGATGTGCGTGTCATCATGATATCATCATGACATCATCATACCCTGATCACCATTGCAATCTCCACTTCTACCTCTCAAGCTGCCGTATTCACTCTGTACTCAACAAGCTCCCGATTTCCTCCCATGTTACAGCATTGCCACGTGAAACGTTCTTCCACGTATCATTTATATGCAGATGACACTATTTATCTATTATATATCCATATAGCTTCATACGTGCAATGGTGCATATACTACATCTACGTATCTATTCATTCATCTATTAATCTACCTGATATGCATGTATATCTATTTTATTTTATTATTTATTACTTTATTATTTGTATTATGTATTTATTTAATTAATTATTTATTTATTTATTGCTACGTAAAAGATCACCTAATCAACTCAAAAGTATTTTTGAGCAGTTAGGGCTTACAGGCTTACTGCTGCTACTTTTTATTCTTACTTTCCAATTTTGGAAAATAATCCGGAGCACCGTATGCATGGTCATCATTGGCTTTATTAGTGGGTAAAATACAGCAGCCTTCCTTCTACCAACAAACGTAATTGTCATCGATACATCGCGAGCCACTAGTGATCGTGAGCGCGAATGCTTGCTTCGTAACCGGCGGCAACCATCATGCTACGTGGTCTGCGTCACGCTGTGTGTAGTGATTGTATGCGTCATGTCATGTCATGCCATATCATGTGCTACTTTATCACGCAGCACATGGAACCATGGGAACTAGCATTAAACCAGCACGGTAGGTAGAGCAGCAAGGCCCGGCGGGGCAAGGTGGGAACCAGCACGTGAGTCGCGGAGCGGTGGGGACCGACAGGAGATTGGAAACTAGCACGCAAAGTGCAGAAGCGACGGGGACCGACAGGAGATTGGAAACCAGCAAGCAAGGTACGGAATGGTGGGGCCCGACAGGAGATTGGGAACTAGGAGCGGTGGGGGACCGACGGGGGAAGGCGGGAATCAGCATAATCTGACAACGCGGAGCGAGGAGGACTTACGTTTTCCTGCTGGCCGCACACCTCGCAGTAGAGGCACTTGGGGCAGATCCAGGTTTGCCACGTCGCCGCCGTCGGTCTCTCATCCTCGTCAATACAGAAGTCGTGGAACGGCTCCGAGCACACGGTGCAGTAGACAAACTACACGAGATAGAGAGAGAGAGATTATGCTACGGCCACAAGAGAGAGAGAGGTCACGCTACAGTCACAAGGGGAAGAGAGCAAGAGAGGAGGGAGGGAGGGAGGGAGGGAGGGAGGGAGGGAGGGAGGGAAGGAGGGAGGGAGGGAGAGAAGGAGAGAGCAGGAGAGCAAGAGAGCTAGATAGGGTGAGAGAGAGAGACAGACAGACAGAGAGAGAGTAGGAGAACAGAGTGGGGGCGAGGGGGAGAGGTATAAGGAGACCAGCGGTGCACTGACCACACACAAGACTCCATGCCCACTTCACATTCGCACTCTCAATCAAATGTTTGCGCGCCCGCCACTAGATGGCGCCACGGTCGACGCTCACCTCCTCCTCTCCGTCGCAGCCGCACAGGTAGCAGACTTCGCTGAGCTGCTGCGCTCCGACAGATATCACGCTGGCGCCGTTCGCCCAGATCGCATCCTCATCGTAGTCGTCCTGCAACGACGAAGCCAAACACGAACAACTGAACAACGTGAACAACTGAACAATGTGAACAACAAGAACAACTGATCTAGAACCACATGATGACAAACGATGTCAGAGCGACTTACTTAGTCGTTATCATCATCACGAGACTTCGACGACGTGACGCCTCTCCCGAAAACACAGTCCTTGTTAAAAAAACGTCATACGACCCTCGCACGACCTTGCACAACCTCGCGTGACCTTGACATACCACAAAGTCGACCTTGAGCAGCCGGGGAGCCTCGAGGTCCTCCTCCTCCCAGTCTCCGGCGAGCTCGGCCGGCTTGTACGCGTGCAGCGGCTTCCCCTCGACGCGCGTCAGCTGCTGCGCCTATAAACAATAGAACATCTCGTCGTCAGGCGGAAGCTCGGCGACGTTCGTTGCTAGCGGCAACGGGAGCGAGAGCGGGGACCAAGACGACGAATGCTTACTACGTCACGCACACGTTTCCCTCTGCATCGTGTCTCGCCCCGATTTCATCGCAAATGCACCGCACAAACCTACGCTATGCGGACACATGTAGCTACCAGGGGAAAAAATACACGGGGGCGGCGGGCGATTTCGCCCCCGAAATGCCAAAAAGAGCCCCCGAAAAACATCAGCATGCCGCCCGCATTTATTAAAGGGGAGAGAGCCGGCGCGAGCTCCGGGGAAAACCAGCGAATGGAGATCGAAACCGAGCTTATGATTTTTTTCGCTCAAACACAATAAAATGTTTAAAAGACATTACATTTGAAATAACTGGAGATAACTCCGTTAACCGAGCAAAATTTGGGATATTTAGAACGAAAAAATGAGATATTTAGCGATTTTTTGGGATGCAATTGTCCACCCCGCGAAAAGACATATTTTAGAGGCCATTTTATTTCGGCAGATACTATTGATATCACTAAGGCCTAGCACACCGGCGCCCACCCAGCTATAGTTTGGAAGACCCGCCTTGAAGCTTTACGCAGCGCCGACTAGCCGCGACCCAACTTGAGCTCGGACAGCGCCACTCCATTGAGCTTGCGCAGCGCTAGCATCTTCTTGCTGGGCCGGCCAGCCCTCCTTAAGCCGAGCACCAGCTTCCTCGTGACCGCGCCTGCGGACGGAAGCTTGACGGAGAAGCCATCCCCTTCTCCACGAACAGCGAGCTGCGACCTGCGTGCGACGCGATGCAGCGACCGGCTCAGGCTTCGGAACGCTTCGCACGAGCCCACTAGCGAGAGAGAAGACGGCAGTAGTACGGGGCGGCGGGGACAACGAAAACCAACATGTCTCGAGACACACGAACTACAAAACCAGGCTTTATTTTTATAGATATAATATATAATTTAATAACTATATATATATATAATATGATATTATATATAGAGAGAGAGAGAGAAAAAGAGTAGAAAGTCCCCACACGCAG